GGCCCCCCCCCCCCCCAGACACTAATGACCCCCCCTTCCCCTCCCAGGCATCCTCATCACCACCATCGCCTCCAAGGGGGAGCTGCAGATGTGGCCGGAGCTGCTCCCCCAGCTCTGCAACCTCCTCAACTCCGAGGACTACAACACGTGTGAGGTATGTGGGGACAGGCTGGGCTGGGGGGGAGCCGGGGGGCCCCCCCAGACAGCGCTGACCCCCCCGCTTTTGTCTGTCAGGGGGCCTTTGGGGCCCTGCAGAAGATCTGCGAGGATTCCTCCGAGCTGCTCGACAGCGACGCGCTCAACCGGCCCCTCAACGTCATGATCCCCAAGTTCCTCCAGTTCTTCAAGCACTGCAGCCCCAAAATCAGGTACAGGGTGCACTGGGGAGGGAGGGAGATGTGTCCCCCTGCAGCCCCATGGGGGGATCTTGGGGGGGCCAGCCACGGTGGGCACGTTGGGGGGCCGTGCTTAGAGCCGTTAGGTGGTCATTTAATGAGCTCTGGGGGGAATAATGAGCTGGTTTTGTGCCCCCTGCCCTGGCTTGTGGTTCACCACAGGGTCTGCTTGTCCCCATCCTTCCCCCCCCGTCACCCAGGGTGGGCCAGCTCCATCTGTGGGGGGGGGGGATATGGGGATTTGGGCCCCCCAAACTGTCTCAGCCCATCCCCGTGTCCCCAAATCATCCCCCATGTGTGTCCCCAAGTCTGGAAGTTTCCCTCTCATGAGTTAATCCGGGGCTGTGGGGACTTGGGGGGCAGGGAGCTGGGCTAACCCCCCCACACCTGGCCCGGCATCGTTAGCTAACGAGCCTACCACGACCCCCCAACCCTCACCGTGGTCTGTGTGTCCCCCCCCCTCCCAGGTCCCACGCCATCGCCTGCGTCAACCAGTTCATCATGGACCGGGCTCAGGCGCTGATGGAGAACATCGACACCTTCATCGAGGTGAGCTTGTGGGGTGGGGGGAAAAACCCCCTGGGAAGCCCCCCACCCGAGGGTGGATGGGGAGGGTGAATGTGTGTGTCCCCCCCCTCCCCTCTTGCAGCATCTCTTCGCTCTGGCGGTGGATGAAGACCCCGAGGTGAGGAAGAACGTCTGCCGGGCGCTGGTGATGCTGCTGGAGGTCCGCATCGACCGCCTCATCCCCCACATGCACAGCATCATCCAGGTGGGACATCAGGGCCACGGGGACCCCCCAGGGGGGGGCGAGTTTAACTGAATTTTAGAGTTGGAAGGGACTATAGAGATCATCTAGTCCAACTCCCCTGCTGAAGCAGGATTGCCCAGAGCTAGAGTGTGTTGCTCAGGAGCATCCAGGCGGGGCTTGAAAATCTCCAAGAAAGGGGACTCCACACCCTCCCTGGGCAGCCTCTTCCAGGGCTCTGCCACCCTCACCGTGAAGAAGTTTCTCCTCATATTTGAGTGGAACCTCTTATGGTCCAACTTGTGCCCGTTGCCCCTCGTCCTCTCACTGGGAACCCCTGAAAAGAGTCTGGCTCCCTCCTCCTTCAACCCTCCCTTGAGATACTTGTAGGCGTTGAGAAGGTCTCCCCTCAGCCTTCTCTTCTCCAGACTAAAGAGTCCCAGCTCTCTCAGTCTCTCCTCATCAGGGAGATGCTCCAATCCATGAATCCTTGAGTTGGAGGGCTGACGTGTGTGTCCCCCCCCTCTTTTCCCTCCCACCCCCCAGTACATGCTGCAGCGGACGCAGGACAGCGACGAGAACGTGGCGCTGGAGGCCTGCGAGTTCTGGCTGACGTTGGCCGAGCAGCCCATCTGCAAGGAGGTGCTGACCTCCCACCTGGTGCAGTGAGTGCTCGGGGCGGCCCCTTCGCGTCCCCCCGGCCCCCCAATTCCCCTCCCCAGACCCCTCATTCCTTCCCCCTCTGCCCCACAGGCTCATCCCCATCCTGGTGAACGGCATGAAGTACTCGGAGATCGACATCATCCTGCTGAAGGTAGGAGGTTGAGGGGGAGGAGGTGAGCGGGGTTTTCCACCCCTCTGGCTCTGCGGGGCTGGGACTGGTTAAACTGGAGGGACTGGGGCCAGGCAAGAGCCTGAGACCCCCCTCCTGGACATGATGACAGATCTAGAGCTGATGCCAGTGATGGCTGTTGTGTTCGTACTGTCTGATCCGGGCAGGGGGTGGGACACGGGGTGGTTGTGGGGTTCCCTGGGGTGGTTGGGGGGGTCCCTGGGGTGGTTGTGGGGTCCCAACAGCCTGACACCACGTCCCCCTGTCCCCGTAGGGTGACGTGGAGGAGGACGAGGCCATTCCTGACAGCGAGCAGGACATCAAGCCCCGCTTCCACAAGTCCCGCACGGTGACGCTGCAGCACGAGGAGGAGCGGCCGCAGGACCCCGACGACGGGGAGGATGAGGATGATGACGACACACTCTCGGACTGGAACCTGAGTACGAGGCGGGGACGAGGGTGGGGGGTCCCAGCCCCTGCTTTGGGCTCCTTCGGTGAACCCTGAGGGGCCTGGGGGTTAATTAAACCCCGTTGGAGATGAGATGGTGGTTGTTTTTTGGGGGGGGATTAACTCCCTTCCCTCTCACCCGGCAGGGAAGTGCTCGGCGGCCGCGCTGGACGTCCTGGCCAACGTTTTTCGGGAAGAGCTGCTCCCCCACCTCCTCCCCCTGCTCAAGGAGCTGCTTTTCCACCCGGAGTGGGTCATCAAAGAGTCGGGAATCCTGGTCTTGGGGGCCATCGCGGAAGGTGGGTGTCGCTGTCCCTTGCCAGGGGCCGTCCCCAAACCATCCCCAAACCATCCCCAGGGGGGTGTCTGAGCCCCCTCCACCCTCTGCCCCCCAAACTTCCCCAGGCTGCATGCAGGGCATGGTGCCGTACCTGCCGGAGCTGATCCCCCACCTCATCCGCTGCCTGTCGGACAAGAAGGCCCTGGTGCGCTCCATCGCCTGCTGGACCCTCAGCCGTTACGCCCACTGGGTGGTCTCCCAGCCCCCCGACATGTACCTCAAGCCCCTCATGACCGAGCTGCTCAAACGCATCCTCGACAGCAACAAGCGGGTGCAGGAGGCAGCCTGCAGGTAAGGGGAAGGGCTTGGGGGAGTGAGGAGAGGGGGGTGATTTGTGTGTGTGTACCCCCCAGCCCTCCTCCCCGTGATGTTTTTTGGGGGGTGGGATCCACCGGATCCCCGCGTTGGCTCTGGGCGTGATGAAAAAGTATGATGTTTTGAGTCACTGTGATGATGGTGTATTCGTACTGTCTGACCCAGAGCCCGGGGGGGGTCCCTGGGGGGCTCAGCCCTGGTTTTGGGGGTAGGGGGGTTTCTCTGGGGGGCTCAGCCCTGGTTTGCAGGTAGATGGGTGACCCTGGGGGGGGCTCAGCCCTGGTTTTGGGGATTGGGGGGTTTCTCTGAGGGGTTCAGCCCTGTTTTTGGGGGTAGGGGGGTCTCCCTGGGTGGCTCAGCCTTGGTTTGGGGATAGGGTGATTTCCCTGGGGGTGTCCCTGGGGGGCTCAGCCCTGGTTTGTGGGTAGAAGGATGTCCCTGAGGGTCTCATCCTTGTTTTTGGGGGGGGCTGCTGATCCTTTTTTGCCCCCCCCACCCCCACAGCGCCTTCGCCACGCTGGAGGAGGAGGCCTGCACGGAGCTGGTGCCGTATCTCAGCTTCATCCTGGACACGTTGGTCTTCGCCTTCGGCAAATACCAGCACAAGAACCTGCTGATCCTCTACGACGCCATCGGGACCCTCGCCGACTCCGTGGGGCACCACCTCAACCAGCCGGTACCTTCATGGTTGGGGGGGGGTAAAGGTTGGGGGTCTCTCTCCCTTTGTGTCCCCTCCCCGTGCCCCCCAACTCCACCCTGGGACCCGTGATGACGAGTGACAACAGACATTCGAATCCCGAATTCTCAGTGTGGATCTCAAATGTTCTGATGGTCCCAGGGGGGGCTGAGAGAGGCCCCCCACCCCCTGCTGTGTGTCCCCCACCCCTCGTGTGACAACATCTGTCCCCACGGGCAGGAGTACATCCAGAAGCTGATGCCTCCGCTCATCCAGAAGTGGAACGAGCTGAAGGACGAGGACAAGGACCTCTTCCCGCTGCTGGAGGTGAGCCCTGGGGAGATGAAGGTGGCACCTCGGGGGGGTTCTCCAGCCCCTTGACCTTCTCCCACCTCCCTGCTGTGTCCCCCCCTCTCCACCTTGGCCCGCAGTGCTTGTCCTCGGTGGCCACCGCCCTGCAGAGTGGTTTCTTGCCCTACTGCGAGCCCGTCTACCAGCGCTGCGTCACCTTGGTCCAGAAGACGTTGGCCCAGGCCATGGTGAGCCTCCAGGTCCCCCTTCCCCGGGTTCCTTTGGGTTGTGACGCTCCCCCATCCCCACCTCGGGGTGACAGTGACTCCCCCTTCCCCCCGTGTCCCCCCAGATGTACAACCAGCACCCCGAGCAGTACGAGGCCCCCGACAAGGACTTCATGATCGTGGCTTTGGACCTGCTGAGCGGTTTGGCCGAGGGTCTGGGTTGCCACGTGGAGCAGCTGGTGGCCCGCAGCAACATCATGACGCTGCTCTTCCAGTGCATGCAGGTGAGAGAGAACCCCCCGAGACCCCTTCTATCTTCTCCTAGACCCATCCTGGGGGGCCATGGGACCCCCCCCGGGCTCACCCCCTGCCCGCTCCCCGCAGGACACCATGCCCGAGGTGCGGCAAAGCTCCTTCGCTCTCCTGGGAGACCTCACCAAGGCCTGTTTCGTGCACGTCAAACCCTGCATCGGTGGGTGCCGGGGCT